GAAAACCCGGCATTTGAAATTTGTTCCAAACTACTTTTTCTGGCAAAAACATATCTTAAAGTCGTGGCTATATAATGCTGAAAACCGCAGGTGTTTGTCCCTTTCCAAAATAAAGGCATTCAGAAAATCACCAAGTACTTCGTTTTTCGAAACGGATAGTCGTCAGAAAATAATAGAGAATTCGCAATCAATCTCTACCTTTCCCAGATGGTGACCTAACCTAGTCCGAATATAAAAGAGAACACGCAACCGATGGTTAGCTGAACTAGATGGTGACCCAGAATGCTCCGAATATAACAGAGAATTCGCAATCGATGCCTACCTGACCTGAATAGTGACCTAAGCTCAAAATCTCAAAAATCTCAGATAGACCAAATATCTCAATACGCGGATTACGCATACTGAGCAAATATCTCAAATATCTCACCTACACCAAATATCTCAATACGCGGATTACGCATACTGAGCAAATATCTCAAATATCTCAAATATCTCAAAAATCTCAGACAGACCAAATATTTCAATACGCGGATTAGGCATACTGAGCAAATATCTCAAATATCTCAAATATCTCAGACAGACCAAATATCTCAATACGCGGATCACCCATACTGAGTATATATCTCAAATATGTCACTACGCGTGTGCGGTGGATTAGATGAGAAGGTCGTCGTTGTCGTGTAGAGATGTTAAGATGAAAAATGTTTACGCGGCGTAAGAGTATTAGAGCACATCTCCATTTTTGTGACTGTTTTAGTAAACATGTTTCGTCTGTACAAATTTTAGCAGATTAAATGATATTTATTATTACTTTTAATGCCTTTCTACTATTTTTGTTAAATATGCTGATTTATTCCAGTTAAATATGTCATTTCTGCTGATTTCATTATGTAGTTATAATTGCCTTACCCTTCTCCCTTCTGTACTTCTATTGCATCTTGAACCTTTGCTTCTACGATACAGGAAGTGGTCTGCCAAGATCTTGTTTACTTTTCAATTATGAAAATAAAATCTATAACAAAAAAGAGTTAACGCGTGCAGAAAAGAACAGTGGAAAAAGGTAACGCGTTTTTGAAGATAATTCTAGTATAAATACCAATCCTAAAAATAGATAGTTTGTTTTAGAGGCACGTGGTCAAATATATTAAGGTAGATTGTAAAGGACACTTCAAAATATATATGAAAAGTTTGAAGAATTACGGACTTGTAGTTTTCTAGAAAACAATTTTTACTTTTTTTCGGCTTTTTTTGCCCATTTTTTGAACTTGGAATAAAACTTTTACTTTTCAATTTGAAAGCTCGGTTTAGAAACCAATCGATAGAGCACTTCGAGATATATATATGAAAAGATTGTCATCGTTCCCTGACAAGGTTTGGCGGTTGGCTTTGACCTTGAGGATGGGTTTTGGGGCCAAAAGTGTGCTTTTTCGAGATCTTGTCTACAGTTTCTCTACGGGGAGACATTTTGGAGCGGAAATGTGAATGCAGAAGTTGTTTATCATGATTTTTTCTATGGGATAATACTTTGCGGTCGCTAAATTTCTTAAGATCAATCGTCAAATTGAAAATACCGGGACGCTGCACTGCGGAGAAAAGGCGCTCAAATTTTGATAATACTTTCTCTTGACAGATTTTGTAACAAAAATTGTCAAAATCTTAAACTGCAAGATAACCTCAAGGTCTTAACAGATGACCAAACATTTGTGTAATACCTTGAAGTAATTGAGCAGAAACTTCAGAAATCTTTCAAGTTTTAATCAAGATCTTGGTTAAAGATTTTCTGCATGGAAACACTGCTAAAAAAAAGGTAAAATAAAGGAATAAAAGAAATATTAGAATTCATCTGTAGTGAAAAAAGTCACAAATGAAAATGTTAAGAGTAGTTTGTTGTTTCGCTTAAAGCAACTCGCTAAAAGAAAAGAGAAACTTATTTCCTATGAAAATTGAGACCGCCCACTTACTTTTAATTGAGGAGCTGAATCTTTTTATCATTTTTAATTGAATCAAGACCATTGGTTGTTACTTGTTTCGAGAACTCTAAAAAGAACAACTACTTATGTTGATCTTGACCCGTGTCAACTTTCACACTGAACACATGGTGAGGACTCAGGCCAAAAAGCCGCACCAAGATCGCAATCTCGTAGAATCCTAGGCGAACCATTAGAATCGTGCCATGATCCCAGCCTAATTGCGCTATTCTTATAGCGATCCTAGGGCAGATGAACTATTTCGCAGCACGACTCACAACAGTTCCTCTGGGAACCCCAAAAATTATTCTTTTTATTTTCAGAAATTCCCGATTTGATAATTTTTGAGAAAGTCGCGTTCTTCCAATCCGGAACACGTTTCTTGATACGAAAATTAAACTTCAGAACAAAAAATTAAGTAGCATTCTAGCGTTTCTTTCGTTCGACTGCAAAACAAAAGGATGAATGAGTTCTGGACTATGACTCATGTCGCGACTGCAGTTTTCCTCACGTTTCGCAAAGCAAGTGCAGACGCTTTGTCGCATCAGAATCAGGCGTAGAGACTCACTTCTGGACTTCTAGACCCGTCTAGATCGTATGGTGTCAAAAGCTCTTACTGTGGATCATGGCTAATATTTGTTGGAAAAAATAAGATTTTAGTCTGAGAGGCGTGAAACAATAGCAATGACGGATTCAACAACAGGATCACGCCACGAGCTAAGCGTGAAAGTGGACTCATTTTTATGTCTGAAATTTAGCATCTTCCACAAATGTAGTTGGTTCTAATAACTCAAAGACATGATCCTAACAATTCACATTTATTTTATTATTTTTTAAATAAAATAACAGTCGTTCAACACGTGATCGACGTCACATTTGGTTTCCATTATTAAAAGACTCATATTGTCATCCAATAAGCTGAAATAATACACCCCCATTCAACTTCGAAGTTCAGTAGCTTTTAATAACGGTGAAAAAGTTTATCTTCAACCATTTTCATTTTACAAGTCTCTGATTATCAGCATTCTCACTCAAATTGTTCTTTCTCCTCATCGATTTTCTAGAAAGTAGAAAATAATTCGACTTTTTGATTTCCGAAAAGTCCATATATAATAAAATCTCTGAGGATTTTCTATAAATAATTCCCAACAATGTAGAAAATCAATATCGATTTTCCATATTATTGGAGATTCAATTTTCTATAATCTGAAAAATCCTGAAAATTTCATATATAGACTTTTTGAAAATCGTCGAGCATTTCTTATAAATAATTCCCGACTTTACAGTGTAGTGACACATACACCATTACCCAGCAACAGTCTTAGCACCAACTGTTCACTGGGCTCCTCGGCTTAAAACTCTAAGGGACCATATACAAGACTCCTGACAACTCCGTTTTACCCTGAAATAAAAAAATGATCTCAGTAGAAGTGTATTACTCGTTGAAATCGTATTTCTTATATACATACTTTACTGCAAAATAAAACGGTGAATAACAATAACCATTCAATCGCTTAGAATTAACAATTAATTACAATTAATTTGCAATTTTTTTTCAATAATCGCGATTAGTTGTTAAAAATGCCGCGATTTCGTTGTCATAGATAGTGCCGGTCCCAGCTATTTTTCATGGCCTCAACTCGTTTTTCGAATTGAACGACTTGAGCTCAAAAGTGGAGTTTTCCGATTTCATAACGTCATCTCTTATCGGTTTATAATGCATATAATAGTCAATAACAAAATACAACATATCAACGTGAAGAAAAAAATAAAGCTCATGCAGAGTCGCCGAAAAGTGCTTTTTTGTATTCAGCACACTCGATAATCCAAAAGATTTTCTATTTTTAGCAAGACGTATTGTCAAAAGTGTAAGAAAATTTTTCGAATAAAATAACGAAAAAATATTTTTTATGGGAAAATAATATTCGTTTCAAAAGTTTTCTTACCCCTCGACAAAAATAACAAAATCTACTGGGTTATCGAGTGTCTTGAATAAAAAAAAACACTTTTCCGCGACTCTGCACGAACTACAGTTTTTTATCGATGATAGTGACGCAGACAACTGAAGAATACCGATTGATAGATGTCGCGTAAGAACCAGATTAAAAACTTGTCGACGTACTCCAGTTTATAATTGCTGCATTTTTAGTCCTATCAGACTGATGTTTTACTATTAGTACAGGTCAAGATGCACTTTTGTATATGTATATATCAGTATTTATATATGATAATGCATACATATGGGTGTAGAATACAGTATAGATATCAATTTGACTGATAAATAGAAGAAGAGAAAGTTCATTCTTCAGTTATTTTGCTGTGAACAGCTGATAATTGCCATTCTAATAATATAAATCTATTTTTTTCACACGAGGATCATCTATTTCACTATTTTTTTTCTAATATGTTTTTTCTTCTTTACGACTGAAACTTTCGATAGCATGTTTGCCTAACCAAATAAGAGTATATTTTAGATCATTCCAGCAATACGAACATGCCGAACGAAAGCTGGCAAACAGTTGGAAAATCAAAGAAGATTACAACACCATCAAAAAGTGTAACAAATATACCAAAAGCTGAAGTGAAAAGTATATGGATGTAGTACTACATTTCAGTTAAAAACTAGTCGTTTTTTTCTTCTTTTAGATATCAAATTGTCAGATAGTGCATTTAGTTCAATGAGACAAAGAGAGACTGAAGATGGTGAAAAAGACGAATCAACGGTAACAAATATAGAACAATCAAAATCAACTTCCGTTGTAAAACCATCAACACTAAAGCCGTCGAAAACACCGACAACAATTAATCTAAAACAAGCATTGCAAAATGTAAATTTAGTTTTATTTTACATTAATTATTTATCTATACTCTCTTTATTCTTTTATTCACAGATTGATGTTTCGGTCTTGGAAAATGAATATTCATCGACTAATGATAAAACATCTGCAACTTCTGTATGGGTTGAAAAGGTTATATATGCCTTTATTGAACAAATCAAAGATGTAACAACGACTGATCCAATATTTGCAAAAGAAGATAATGGTATTTGAAAAATATTAGAATTGAATATGATGAGATAATCTTCTTACTTTTCTCTTCAGATTATCCTATGAATGCATTAAAATCGCCTGTTCGAGATTTTTTATCAAAAAATTTCAAACAACAATCAATTTTAAAAGCAATCAAGATTTGTCGCGAAAGTTTGTTAAACACCAGTTCAGGTATGTCTGCTCAAGGAGTGTTCAAAAATTAAAATATATCACAATGATTATTTTATTTAAGATTCATCCGCCATAGTGGGTTATCAAGTATTATTGCAATTTTTTATTCGACACATTACTGATCAATCAGATCGAATTTTAAACGATGTTGATACTGTAAGCAACAATCTTATTGCTTAAAAACAATTCAACAATAAATATATGCTCTTTTTAGGTATCAAAAATGTTGAAAAAATATTCATCTGATAAAATAATGCGTTTATTGTGGTGTTATAGTCAATTTCGATACAAACAACCTGGTTTAGCGTTAGAAAGTATGACAAACAGTTTTTATTTTTATAACGTGTAAAGTCTAAGCGGTCAGGTTTCATCCAGTCCTCTAGCATTACGAAAGCTCAGTAAAAATTAAGGCTTTCATAACACGGTAAAAAGACAAATTAAAAAAACGGAATGGCTATTGACACCCCCGGGGTGGCAGCAAGGAACTATTGACACCCCGTCGAACTGGCAGCAAGAGCTATTGACAGTCGAAAATGCACTTACACACTGCATAAATGGGTTATTCAAAGTGTTATGTTGAATTAGTTCTGAAATTGACGGCCTATGAGAGGTGATTTCGGGTGGGTCGGGTGGCTGTGCATGAGAGTGCCCCACTGAAATACTTCCATGTTACCTGGAGATGATGGTCTTTATTAAATAACGCATTTTTACAGTGTATAAGTGTATTCTGGACTGTCAATAGCTCCCTGCTGCCACTCCGGGAGTGTCAATAGACCTATCCTTAAAAAAAACAGGGCTTTCGTAAAGATAATGCAAAGGGATTAATGTCTAAGTTGATGCTATGACAGGGCTTCCGTAACACTCTTTAACAGGGCTTTCATAAGGCAGTCTGTGTGTACTTTTTACGGTAAAATAGCTGAAGATTAATGTTCTCTAACAGGCCTTTTTGTAACAGTCTTTTACAGGGCTTTTGTAACGATAAGGTTTTTACAATAAGAAGTAGCATTCGTTACGAAAGCCCTGTAATAATACAGCATTGCTATTTATATCTGGAATAAAAAGTACACATAGACTTCATTACGAAAGCCGTGTAAAAGAGTCTGACGAAAGCCCTGCCAGAGCATCTACTAGAGATTAGTCCTTAGCATTATCGTTACGAAAGCCCTGTTAATGATCTTAGTGACTGACTATCGCATAGAGAGGATACGACCCGATTAATAGTGTTACGAAAGCCCTGTAAAAAGTCAATTTATAGGGCTTCGTAATCAGACAGCCCTGTAAAAGAACGAGGGTTTTAGATGAAACGCCACCGTCTAAACTTTCCAGTTCGTCTTTCAGAATTTTAGTATTCTCGTGTGTGTGCTTTATTTTCTTCAGTAAATCAGTTTGACAAACAATCATCTTTAGCACAGTCTGCTCATTTTTTTTGCATATCTTCTAGTTTGGTTCCGTTTATTTTATCCGTTGATTGAAAATCGAGTGTATAATCAGTTTGTTGTCGATGATTTGGCTCAATTGACAAAGTATATTTTTTGTCTCATCCTATAGTTATTTCTTCTACATTATTTTGATGTTTTCAGACGAAATTCATCATATGAAGAATTGTTGAAACCTGATAATCAATTTAGTTTAAAGACTTTTCTAGAATTTATGGAATTCATTGATCGACCCAATCCGGCCATTACAAAACAAATGAGATGTTCATTGGGACAAAGTTGTTCAACTATTCAAGTACGTATTAAGAACAAACAAAAAAAAAAATTACATAATCTTCAACTTTAGTTCGTATCTTTTTTTGTAGGATTTGTTTATCAAGGATTCAAAGAATTTGTCTAAAGATGGTAGTAATTATTTTAAAATTTTATTTCCACTATTGAGTGATAATAAACAACGTTCGGCAAAGAATCAAACTCAAGTAAAATAAATAGAAAAACTTTTTATTTTTGTTATTTTATATTCTCCTTTTGTTTAGATTGACCGTATGATTATGGCATGTTTTGATGATAAAACTGTATCAAATACATGGTTATCGTTACATAAATCTTATCCAAAGTCAACAATGTACGATGAACATATTCTTTTGGACGTGTTAGTAGTCTTATAATTTCTTCTTTTGGTTTTTTTGAAGATCGCTATTGAATGTGATTAAAACAAATTCAAAACAAGTACTAAGTAATCCAAAAGAACGACATTCGCTTATCCAACAATTACGAGCTATATCGAGTGATGCCGTAAAATTAAATGATGGAAAACATACTCCACATGATGAATTTTTAAATTTATACAAAGAAAATGTAATGTTTATTCAAGTCTGTTCTTTTTATTGTTTATAATACAATATATTTTTTTTTGTATAGGACACAATTACAAGTCGTGCACAAGGAAAAGGAAAACGTCGGTTTTTCAAATTGACATTATTCCTCATGGCATGTATCTCATTATATTATTTTTGGCCATTAATAACATTAACTTTATCGCCTTACTTCAAAGGTAAGCAAATAACTTCTGTTTTTTTAAAACTTGTTTTAAATTATTATTGCTTGTTTTAAGATCATCTTCATCATTTTCAACATCCGGTTATTCTATCAATGAGAAAACAATTACAGACGATTGAAATACAGACAAAAAAAACACTTCAGCCTTATTTAAGGTAGTTTACGTAATCATTATTAATATTTTTAAACAATCAAATTCAGGTCAAGCAATCCTACTAGGTTCCTACAAGATCCTATAGGATCTTACTGATAATAGAACTTCATAGGGTTCCTATTGTAGGATCCTTTAAAATACCTACAGCAGGAATTTCATAGAATTCTTGACATAGGACGATAGCAAAAATCCTATAGGATTTCTATAAATAGGAATCTTATGCATTTCTTACAAAATCTTACGGTAAGATTTTGTAAGATTCGTTCTGTATATATTTTCTTTGCTTTTCTATAAGAGAACACAATCACCAACGTGTTTTGTGGTAACTCTAATATAAACACAACTCTCCTGTAGAAAATAAAAAATTCTTTTAATCTTAAATTTTCGAAATTCTATGAGCCATCGAAACTCGCTATACTGTTCGACGACGTGTGAGTGAGTACTCACAAGTCATGGGCTTATCCCAACTCAGAATCGGCTGATTCTGACTAGCTGGGATCAGAGAATAATTAAACAAATAAAAATAATAAACTTAGTAGTATAAACCATACCATATCCTAGCTGATCATGTAAAATCCTATAAAATCATATAATAAGATTATGTAGGACCTTATATGATCTTATAAGTTCCGATTATAGGATCTCTTAGGATTCTATAATAGGAATCCTACATCATTTCTTGCTTTAACCCTTTCTTGCCTTTGGCTAAATCTGACGGTACTGAAGGACAATAGAGGTGTGCAGGATGATCCTGTTCTATTAGGGTAGGGTGCAAACTTTATAGGGTAGGGTAGGTTAAGGATACGAAACATTTTTATAGGGTGGGGTAGGGCACAGGTTGCGACGTTTGTCATAGACTGTACTCTATGAGATAAAGAACGCTCACTATTGCGAGACATTTGCTAGTTCAAATGAACTAAATTTTTATAAAATGGTCCCTATAGGGACCATAGGGCAAGAAAGAGTTAAGATGGCAGACATGTTTCCTATACGATCCTATATGACTTCATAGGATCATATAAGATCAGACAAGAATCTGATTTTAGGATCTGATACAATCTTATAAAATCCCATATGATCCTATTATAGGATTCTTTAATCTGGGAAGTTATACTATCAATGATAATTATTTGTTGTATTGTTTTCTGTATACTGTCATATCTTCTATAGTTCAATTTGTGATTGTAATTTTGATTTTTATCTCTCGTTCGTTAGAAAAAGTGAAGAATATATACGTTCGAGTGTTATTGCTGCTGAACCTTACGTGGAAATGGGATATAATCATGCGCGAAAACAAGTGGATCATGTGTGGAAATACTTACAATCATTACAAGGTCCAGCGAGTGAATTAGCAATTGTTCTTGCTGATCAGGTATGATTTTTATGTTAGAAATAGTTATATAAAAGTTCTGAAATTTTTTTCTTCTATTTTAGATTCGTCAAATATCATTCGTTATTTATGAACATTGTATCAAATATTTAAGTATTTTATTCGATATGGGTAGTCGTTATACTGAACAGTCTGTGAATATTTCAAAAATATATGTTAAACAACTTTATGTGATTTTGTATGACCAATGGGAACAGTAAGTTATCTTTTTTATCTATCTATCTATTATTTAATAACTGTCTTTAATCTTTTTAGCTTGGATACAACAGATCTGAAAATGAAAGCAGAAAGATTAATCAAAACAATCAAAACACGATTTTCATCTTCTGCCTAAACGATTGTTATCCTTTTTCTTTTAAAGTACATGGGAAGTATATTTAAATGATACTGTTTCTCTTGGAACCATATTTTCATTTTATTCTTATTATATAATGCATAAAGAAGGAAGAAACATTTTTCTTTGTAACATTATTTTTTCATTTACTCTTTTTGATGTGTTATTGTTGTTAACGAAAAAATGACTTTTTTTCCTGAAAGATAATCTACCGAGAATTTTTACGATGAGTTTGATTTATAACTGTTTTTACTTGTTTTTGTTCGTGTAATTATTAGTTCCATGTAATGTTAAACATCAATATGTTTTTAGTTTTCTTGTTATTGTTATGAAAAAATGTTGTTATTGGTTATTTTATCGACTTTTATAAATGAAAAAAAAGAGAAAACAAAGGAAATTATTTTTAGTATTTACTGGCGGAAAGAAATGAAGATTATCTCATAGATTTAAATATTGTTTTCTCAAATTCATGTTATAAAAGATTATTCGAACATGACTGACAAAAAATGATCCATTTGTATGCTGTGTGTTCGAAAGTAAATGATAACACAAAAGTTCGCTCTTCTCTACTTCAGTTATGGTATCTCGAAAATTAAGAATTCTTTGCTTGCACGGCTACCGTCAAAATTCAACAATTTTTCGTGAGAAAACTGGCAGTTTACGTAAATTGTTGAAAAAACATGCTGACCTAATTTATATTGATGCCCCACATCTCATACCAGAAACAACAGCCGAACTTGTCGAAAGTACTAATAGTGAAGCAGCTAATAGCGAAGAACATAATCATCAACAAGTGGATCGATCTAATCAACGAGGTAAAGTATGTCATAGAACAGCATATTTTCCTGCCGATCTGTTCTGTATGATATATTTAATTTTTTTTTTGTATGTGTAGGTTGGTGGTTTTCAACTTCAAATCAAACATATGATCCATTAAAGCTAACCGATTGCGATAAAGGTTTTCAAGAATCAATAGAATATGTTACAAATTTTATTCAGAGTCAAACCGAACCATTCGATGGTATTCTGGGATTTAGTCAAGGTGCATCGTTTGTTACACTGTTGTTATTATCATTAAATTCAAATAGTCAATTGTCATTTCGTTTTGTGATGTTGATAGCCAGTTTTAAAAGTGGACAAACACAACATAAAGACTATTATAAAAATCAGATAAACATCCCTAGTCTACATATTATTGGGAAAAATGATCAAGTTATTCCCTTTAAAATGTCTGAAGATTTAGCAAATGATTGTTTTAAAGAGCCAATTAATTTTTATCATGATGGTGGACATTTCATTCCAACAACGTCAGAAGCACGATTATGTTACACAGAATTTTTAGATAAACTACAAATGTAATAATAAAATTGTTATTTTTTTTTACCTTCTTTTTTATAAAAATATTTATGAAAACCAAATTTCATTATTGTATTCATTAGAATTTGTTGCATGTAGATAGCATGTACAGTAGCGATGTATGCGAAGATATCTGCTTGATTTTGATTGTCCTTACCGCAAATAATCTTAAAATATTTTGATGAAGGTGAATGACTAAGACTCGTCAAAGAATACCCGCATGCTTGAAATAAATGTTGATAAAGACATTTTCTTATTACAGGTGAAAAAGAAAGAATGAAAAAAATGATCTCTTTTTCAATAAAGAAGAGAAGCATTTTCTTTGCGAAATGAAGTTTGACCTCATCATCAAAGATAAGCATAAATTTTGAAACAATATTTTTACTTTTTTAGATCAACAATTAAGATTTAGTTCAATAATATATAATACGATTCAAGACTATGTCGTAGGTCACGTCTACTCCTTCTATTTCACTAGTCATTTCGATTCTTTCATTCTAGCTCTTTAGCGGGTAAAACGATATTTATCTCAGGGGCATCACGAGGGATTGGAAAACAGATCGCTTTACGTTGTGCCAAAGAGAAGGCTAATATTGTTATCGCTGCTAAAACGACGACACCTCATCCAAAGTTACCTGGAACAATTTATACAGCAGCTGAAGAAAGTAAAATATACATATATAGAAATTATTGTATTAGAATAATACTAATTGTTATTGTTTTTTTGAATATTTTATAGTTGAAAAAGCAGGTGGAAAATGCTTGCCATGCGTGGTAGATGTACGCGAAGAAGAACAAGTTGTGAAAGCCTTCGAAGATGCAGTAAAGAAATTTGGTGGTATTGACATATTAATTAATAATGCTAGTGCAATTAGTCTAACGGATACATTGTCAACACCAATGAAAAAATATGATTTAATGCATAATATTAATGCACGTGGCACTTATTTATGGTATGAAAAATACTTTTCTCTTTTTTTGGACAGAAATAAAATTGATTTTTATTTTATATTTTAGTTCAAAGATAGCAATACCCTATTTGAAAAAATCAAAAAATCCGCATATTCTTATGAATTCACCACCATTATCGTTAAATCCTGGTAATTAGTTTTACTAAATAAAGTTATTTTCACACTTTTATTAAATACAGTTATGAATATTTTTCATCTAATATTTGTACAAATTCATACACATCATGTTTTGAATATTTTTTTAGCTTGGTTCAAAGGTCATGTTGCATATACTGTTGCCAAATATAACATGTCAATGTTTGCACTCGGTTTGTCTGCTGAATTAAAAGAATTTGGTATTGCTGTTAATGCAATTTGGCCGCGTACAGCTATTGATACGGATGCTATTGCACTCATTGCTGGAGAAGATTATCGAAAAAAATGTCGAAAACCAGATATTATGGCCGATGCTGTTTATGCAATAATAACAAAAGATAGTCGATCGTGTACAGGAAATTTTTTTATTGATGAGGAGATTTTAAAACAATCGGGTGTAACAGATTTTGAACAATACTCGGTTGTTCCCGGTGTCACCGATTTTATGTTAGACTTTTTTCTTGATGAAAATTTACCAAAAATGCAAAAAACAAGTTCAAAAACGTCAAGTTCATCAGCATCAAAGGATGGAAGCGAAAAAGCTACATCAACAACAACTGCAAAGACAACATCAACACCGAGTTCTGAAAGTGCAGAGGATGTTACTAAAATCTTTGATGGAATCAAAGCAATGATGAATCCAGATATTATTAAGAAAATACAAAGTGTCTATGCGTTTGATTTAAAAGGTAAGTCATTATATGCACTCATAATACAATAGAGATATAACGTTTATTGCAAGAAGATTCGTTCACCCTCACCAATTTCTACCGATACTCCTGTTTCAGTGAATTGAATAAAAGATCTTATCGCTCTACAGAAAGATATTTAAATTTAAGGTGAAAAATGGTATTTGGATTTGAAAAATGAACAAGGGAGTGTTGGTAAAGGTGAACCAACTGCGCCCGCTCAATGCACATTATCAATGTCGAAAGCAGATTTTATACAAATGTTTAGTGGAAAATTGAAACCAGCTGCAGCATTTATGGGTGGTAAACTAAAAATTAAAGGTGATATGTCCACGGCCTTGAAATTAGAGCAGTTATTAAATCAAATGAAATCGAAGCTCTAAAAATAAACCCGTAACCTATTTATTTGTTGATTAATTTATTTTTTATCATTTTATTTGGTTATTTCCTTCGTGTAATTTTTTTTCTTAAGATATAGAGTTACATGGAGTGATTCTGATAATCGCCTAAAACTTTTCAAATATTCTGAGCATATTTAAGACATCTTTCACAGGAGAAAATCAGTATTATGCAGGTAGATAGAGTTGACCCTTAGCTATCTACTGATGTAAAAGTTTTCCTAAAGTTCGTTAATATTAATTAGTTTTAATCAATTTCCAATATGTTTAGAATTGTACAGCCAAAAGAGCTGAAACAAACTTCATATTTTCTATGTTATACTAAATGACAAAGTTGTTCAGAATCCTATAATCACCACATATTTGAAAACTGAGAAAAATAAAGAGTATTTTCAACGAGTAATGGGCATAAGAGCTAGAGTATTTTAAACGCATTTTTGTGCATGAAAATGCATTGTGCATGAAAATGCATTGTGCATGAAAATGCATTGTGCATGAAAATGCATTGTGCATGAAAATGCATTGTGCATGAAAATGCATTGTGCATGAAAATGCATTGTGCATGGAACCTCAAACCTATAGAATCTCGAATAAAACTTAGAAGAAGAATTGAAATTGTATTCTGATTTGTTAACGTATTTCTAACACAGAATAAAGTTTCACAGAAGTTAAAACAGTAAACGTTATTTCAAGAATAGTTCATTCAAAATTGTACAAAAACATGGTTGACGTTTAACGTCCAGATTAAATGGTGATGTCAATATTTTAAGTATAGCTTTTGTTCAGATAATGCTGGAAGACTGCTTTTTGGAAGGGGGAAAAAAGCGAGGAATCAAGAATGAAAAACCAACTACAGAGTATGCTAATTAACCAAAATGAATTGCGTCATTGACATAATGTTCATTTACAAGATGATATGAGTCCTTGGAACTAGATATGCGCCAGTTCCAATTTTTAACTGTAAGAACTGGAACTGTTGCAAAAAAAATTCGAAATGACTTCAAAAGAAATTTTAAATTCTATTCTAGAAAATGCAGGTAAAAACTCCTCAAAAAGTCCTTTAATAGGAACGCTTTTTGAAGCTGACATTTTTGGACTATAAGTAATAGATTATGGAACTCATAAAGGGACTGCTCCTGTGATTTATATAACTCACTGACGGTCTCTGTGAAAGTGTGGCTCTACTTAGAGCTGAGTAAAAAGTTCAAAAACCAGTGGAAATTCATAAGGCTTCATCGTGATCGTCAATGAGTTATGCGAATCACAGGATGAGGTTCCTGTGAGTTCCTTTATGAGTTCCATAATGTATTACTTATAGTCCAAAAATGTCAGCTTCAAAAAGCGTTCCTATTAAAGGACTTTTTGAGGAGTTTTTACCTGCATTTTCTAGAATAGAATTTAAAATTTCTTTTGAAGTCATTTCGAATTTTTTTTGCAACAGTTCCAGTTCTTACAGTTAAAAATTGGAACTGGCGCATATCTAGTTCCAAGGACTCATATCATCTTGTAAATGAACATTATGTCAATGACGCAATTCATTTTGGTTAATTAGCATACTCTGTAGTTGGTTTTTCATTCTTGATACTAAACTGGTTTTAATTATTGTTGTATATGAATAAGACCAAGATGTAATAGCGTTGCCTTGCGAGTGATCTGCTGTCCAGAACTTCATATCATCTTGTATATGAGTGCTTGAAACGAGACATATGTGGGATAATTTGGTGTTATCTTGCGTAGTTTTAACAGTTTTCAGGTGATTGTTTTTGCATTCGATGGAGGAGATGCTTATGTAAGCCATAAATAGAAGATTTTTATCAAGAAATGTTTTCTCAAATTTTTTCCATGTCGCACTACAACTCTACAATTAACATGGCTTTGTCAAACCACATCCGCATTTCATGGTTCAAATAATTGCTCGGATTTGGTTGAAAATCTGAATTACGGACAATTACGGTTTGACTAGGTCATGTTAATTGGAGGGTTGTAGTTCCACATGGAAAAAATTTGAAAAAACATTTTTTAGATTCTACATTTGACGTAGTTATATGATTATGTCCGTTCAAATATCTGGAGAGGATTCAACTGGACTGATGAAAAAATTAAAAAATTAAAATTACTGACGATCGTCGGCTCATGCTTTTTTGCACCACTAGTTAGAAAGTACCGCGCTCTGTATTTCTTAACTAGAAACGTCAAAACTTTATTCCAGCGCTGGTTTTCCAGCGGTCAGGTTTCCCAGAAGCTCTATTATCAACTTTTCTCATGAAAGGGCGATATGCATCTCTGATAGAAAAATCTTCGGGCTATTCAAAACATTATTCAGATTGGTTCCAGCTTTTACTAAAAAGTCAAAAACAAGGGAGTTCTTGTGATTATGATACACTGTACTGCTTAGATAACACCCAAAAGCTCCTTTTCCATATCTTTAATGACTGGCCCCATCTTTCTGCATATTGTGACCAGCTTACTTTGTAGAGAATTTCAAGGGCTATCCAATGGTATGTTTTTGAACAATACAAACTTTTTCGTTATGGCAGAAAAACGACTAACAGAGTGTTCAAGGCACTAAGATAGGTGAAAATCATTATATGATTGGACGAAATCATTATCATGATTGGACGTTCATAATAATTACCACATCGGACGCGAGAAAACAAATTCGAAGAGAAATGGAGTATACTACCAATTCAAACTGCAGCAGAAATTTTCTTGTTCAAAAAGAGGGAAAGAGAATCTCCGGCAAAGAGGAAACATACCGAAACACAATATACTCATGACCAACATATATGTTCTTTCATATCGAGACGAAACACGGGAAAATTAATCTCCTCATTCATCAGGATAAAAATTTAGTCGCGATACTTTTAGCTTCTTGTCGAGATGACCCTTTTATCACGATAATACTCGATAAAAATCTATTGGAGTTTATCGCGATACTTTTGCTTTTGGAGATAAAGATCACACATACAACGATAGTACTTTTATCAGGATAAAGTCCGATAAATATTAATCGCGGTTTATTGACATACTGGTATTTACAACGCTAAATGACTTGTATACCGCGATAGTTTTGCCTACTGCGTTTTATCGAGAGACTGCGATAAACTGCACTCACTTTTATATCGCGACAGAGTTGCTCATTATCGCGATATTTCAGCACATTTAGCATAATATCTCGATATATCGCAAGTTTTCAACAAAAATTACCCGCATGGGAAAGTTGTTTGAATTTTTCGACCAAAAATCCCTCTGGGAAATCCTTACTCAACTGTTTTTGGAAAAAGTTGTTTTATTTAGAAACGTTTTGTGTTATACATTATTCGGCGTAGTTTCACGCGCGGATTCCAAATATCGCCTTATTTTTTATTGAAAGTATCCTGGACTGGAGAAAATTGATTTTACCCGAAAAATCGAGCTTTTTTGGAAGACCTCCTGTACTCTCTAGGATTATTTGTCATAATTTGTGGTATCTGTATAGATGTAGTATATATAGACAAACAGTTTGTTAGAATTTGACCATCTTTGAAACTTCGGAACTTCAGTACATTGCGAACCACTGTAAAGAAAATCATCTAGTGTGAAAAACAACTTTATTTCTTACAAAGCAAAGATCGAAAACCCTTTTTCACTGTTGTATAGCTGAACGAGTCTAAATTCAAATGCGTATCTCTTTTATTTTTAAGTTTCACCAGATTTATTATAAAAACTTTTTTACCTAATGCTTGTTTTATTCGATAAATTTTTGACTGTTTTTCCACGATCCCTTGCACTAGAAACAAAACTTTTTATGCCATTAAATAGCTCATAGATGTGCTGTCAGTCTGCAGTTTAAACTCATATAGATATTATACGTTGACAACATTAGTACGTCTTAGTTATTTTATCTAGTACTAGTATTTTGACGACAGACTAGTCCAGTAACAGGTAAAAACTAGCAGTGTCATAAGTTTATTGGTAGTGTGAAAAATAAATTTAAAAGAATTCTTTAATCGTAAACCTATGCCTTAATCGTATCTATGTGATTCTACATGATCTTCAAATTTTTTAGGTAACATATTAATTTGCAAAACATGTAGTCTATAAAACGCATAGAAAGGAATATTTGTTCCTAAAGATTTATGATTACTATGATGTGATAGATCTTTTACATTTAGTGTTGCAATGATAAAATATCAATACCTCAACGATGTCAAGAACTATATTAGAGATTTCATTTCACATGGTACTAGTACTTTGATCACAGAGTAGTCCAATAATAGTGTAAAATTAACAGTGCCAGCCTGAGTTTATTGATAGTATGAAAAATGAATTGAAAAGAATTCTTTAATCGTAAACTAAAAATCAATCTGTAAACTGAAAGTTTTTTCTTCGTTCTGTTGTATAGAAAATCGTTTGATAGAGATAAAAGTTTTTGTTCTTAGAAAAAGATGCTCGTCGAGGAATATATGCTGTTTTCTCAATCATCTGTCTGTTCTGTCCCGAAATCCAAAGACTATTGTAGGTCGTGATGTTTTGGTTTTATTTTAGAAATCTTTTTCACAAAATACTAATCTTTTGATACGAAAGCACAAAAAAACGACATGAAAAAAACAGTACGAAAAAAAAATGACGAAAAGAAATTCAGCCATGGACCGACCATGTGAGATTATTCCTTTCAGAATCGTTTTGCATCCAATGGTTAATAGGCAAAGAAGAATGTAACTGTTACACACACTTTATTTCAGTAAATTCATAACTATATATAGTATATTTCAGCTACCAGAAGATCTCTTAGGAAAACTGGGAAAAACACATTGTACCAGAAAGAGAGAAGAATAGAAATGAAAAATACGCATGAGAAAGAGTAAACAGAAAGAGAAAACATACGTCATACAAAAGCAGAAAACAGAAGAAGAGAAAGGGAAAATAACCATTGAGTTAAGAGACGCATATGTGTATTGAAAGATGACCACAGTTGATATGAGATTTTATACTTCCTAACAATC